CGGCGAGTGCCCCCGCCGCTAGTGACCCCGCGCATGCTTGCAGGCTGCCTCACCTTGGGCAGCCTGCTCATGGCGCTCCCAGTTTGCCGCTGGTTGAGCGCCTGGCGCCGAATGACCGGTGGATCGCCTTGCGTGCGCGCTGCCCTGCTTCGCGCAGTGCGCCTTGTGCCGCCGCGCCTCACGCCTGCCTGCCTGTTTGTGGTGCGGACCCTGCTGGCGTTGCCCAGGGCGCACGCTGTATGTGTCGCGCGGTGCGCTTTGTTCCACCATGCGTCGCGCTTTCCTGTGTGTTTCTGGGCGGCCCCTGCTGGCCTTGCCCAGGGTGCACGCTGTATGTGTTGCGCAGTGCGCCTTGTGCCGCCGTGCCTCGCGCCTGCCTGCCTGTTTGTAGTGCGGCCCCTGCTTGCCTTGCCCAGGGTGCAAGCTGTGTGTGTGTCGCGCAGTGCGCCTTGTGCCGCTGTGCCTCGCGCCTGCCTGCCTGTTTGTAGTGCGGCCCCTGCTGGCTTTGCCCAGGGTGCACGCTGTATGTGTTGCGCAGTGCGCCTTGTGCACCCGGCGCGTTAACACTTACTTTCCGCCGCCCTCCGGATCACCTGCGCCCAATCACATGCCAAATTGTGGATGATGGCGCTAACCACCTTGTTGCCGCCGTCGGCCTTGACCCCGCGCGGTACGCTTCACACAGCCTGCGCCGGGGAGGTGCTACCTATGCCCTGCGGGCCGGCGCCGACGCCACGCGCGTGCAACTTGTGGGGATTGGGGCAACCGCTGTCTCCTTCCGCCTGCACGTCACCCTGGGGCCTGAGGAGCGCCTACCTTGCACGGCTGTTCTGCTTGCCGGGCTTTGCCCGGAGTGGCGCGGGGCCGCCGTGCTTTGGCCATGCCCGGTGTGTTCCCTGGTGCCGCCCTCCCTCGCGCGCTGTCCTTGGGGGGTTTGTCGGCACCTGCGCACCCTTTCCTGTGGTTCTCTGGGGGGAGGGCAGGCGCCTCGGTTCGCTGCTGCTTCAGTGCCCCGCGCTTTGCGCCGCCTCACTGCGCCCCGCGACCGCCCCCTGCCTTTGGGCCGGGCATTCATTTGCCCCTACATTCCCCCCATGCTCGTAGTGTAACCCTGGTGCTGCGCAAGCGCGACCCTGA